GAAAGTGGAATGAGTTGATGCTTATATATACCTAACATTTCCATTACCCTCAGATATATGAGAAACTTGGTAGTTCAATGGCCTTATTACAAATATCACATTTACAAAGAGGAACATGCAATCCAAGCTGGAGAGAAAAAGGAAATTGCTTGCAGCAAAAGCTGAGGAAATGCTTTCAGCAGTCTGAAGCAATCGCGGTAATATGAGTAACACAGTAAAAGAGGAGATGTGAGCGTGGATTTCTCAGCAGTTTTTCAGTTAAACATCTGAAAACTACACAGTTAACAAATTAGAGTCGGTGATCGAGGCGGCATGTCTTTTGGGTGTGTGGGTCTGTGTGTGTCCACGAGAATCCCAGGAGTCATTTTTGAAAATGAAGGGCAGAAGTACAAACAATCATCTGCTCGTTTGAAAACTAAATTAAATTTGTGATCTCTATTATTTTTCAGAGCACATTTTTCACCGGACTGAACTTTTTCTCATCCAAAATTAGTGGAAATGAACCTATCCGAGTCACCTACCATCTGATTTCACCCTGGCTTTGAAAACATTATGGATTTATTTATTGACACAGGTAGAAAATTATTAATGGGAAAACTTGTTTTCAGTGTAAAAAAAAAGTCTTGTGGAGCAGTTCATGGACATATTTGGATACGTTTTACATAAAACATGCTCTCGGTCTTGTAATCATGTGAAAATGACTTTTTTCTTTAGTTGTGCTGTCCTGATTTCACCTCCTGGCGTGCTGCTGACGCAGGCAGATGTTCTGCAGCACGCTGAGGCTGCCGAGGGTTTAGTAAAGCTCCAGAGTCCTCTGTGTTACCCACCGAGAACAAGTGACCTCAGCCGGGGAAGAGGCCTGTACTGGGACTGGGCAGAGCCTGGAGCACCACCCGCTATTAGCTTTATTCAATTAAATTCAATTTTATTTATATAGCGCCACATCACAACAACAGTTGTCTCACAGCGCTTTCCAATCAGAGCAGGTCAGACCCTACTCTGAAGTTAATTACAGAAACCCAACAATTCCCACCATGAGCAAGCACTAGGCGACACAGGCAAGGAAAAACTTCCTTTTAACAGGCAGAAACCTCGAGCAGAACCATGGCTCAGGGTGGGCGGCCACCGGCCTCGGCCAGGAAAAATCTATTAGTCCCCAAATGTTTGGCCATTTCTATGTTTTTTTCTGTGAGGATATGTAAGAGTTAAGCTAATCCTGAGAGGCAGAGAACATATGTGGCTTTCATTGTAACAGGTGGCCCTTCTTAGTGTGAGTTCGGGGACTGAGGGAGCTCTCTGTATAAAAGTGAGCCACGCAAACCAGCTATGACTCATTTTTAAAATAATAAAATCAGTTCTGTTTTGCTTTAAAAGCTGTAAAACTCTCACTAAAAGCAAACAAATGTTCCAGCTGTTCTCCCACAGCGGGGGGAATGCTCAATTACGTTTTGGGGTGTTTTTGCCCGTGTGCCAATATGAAAGAATAAAATAAAAAGGCAGACACTGAGGGAGGGAAGCAGACGAAGTCTGACAGCCAGAGGGACTCCACAGCTTGATTTAATAGACAATCCATCACACAGTTCTGCCATCCTTTGCTCTCCACATGTGGGCAGCCTGGAGAGAAGCTTATTATCACAGGTACGAGGAAAGGAGGAACTCATTAAATCAGAAATAAAGTGAGTATCGAGACAGTGTGAGGGATCAGTAACATCGAGATGTGAGAATACACTGCCTCCTTTTTTGAACAACAGCTCAGTGGACGTGATGCAATAACATCATAGTTTAAGACACACACACACACACACACACCTGTCTGGATGCTGTAAGCTAACCAACAAACTGCTTTGCTACCAGATGAAACATATTAAGGGTAATCTTTTGCCTCTGTTGGGCCCAAAATACTCAGCCCCTCTGTTTAATGTGGAAAATGTGAATATGGTGCCCCACTCACAATTTGTAGTAATAGTAATAAATCAAACAGGAAATTTGATTAGAACTTGTTTCTGTGGACTTTAGATCAATAGAGAAACCACAATAATACATTTCAGCTCTTTTTGTGGATCAGGACCTACTATAAAGAATAAAACTATCCAGGACTATAAAGCAAACGTGGAGAAAACCAGACACAGGCTACCAGCAAAAAACCACCGTTAGCATTTGTCAGGCCTGGTGGTTTAAGGCCAGAAGGTCTGGACACCTTGTGGTCATTAAACGGGCCTCAGACTCCTGTGTTTATTGTAGTAAATACAAGGGCATCTGTTCTGCAGGTGAAGCTCGGCTTAAACTGGAATTTTTTACGAAAATGCTCACTCTATGAGACATTATAAAGCTCATAATGGCCATATTATGACGTCTGAATCTCTTTTCAGGCCCTATTTGGCAACAGGAGTACTGTAGGCTGCAGGTTGGCCAATATGCCTTCCAGCTTGCTGTTGAACATCCTG